ATATTATTTTATTGGTTTCTTGTTAAGGAATAAATGCATTTGAATTAAGCTAGAAAAAGAAATGTAAATTTTCCATTTTATACATCATATCATTTTATCAAATTTGTTTTCTATTTATTTTTTATTAAACTAGAATTCAAAATTTGTAGGTTTTAAACATTTATCGATTAATGTTTGTTTTATTTTAAAAATTCAAAAATGAATTTTAATATTTATATAAATTACATAATAAATAGAGTGTGATTTTTATATCTAGTTTTGTTTTTTCAAAATGTGAAATTTTGAATAATACATTATATCTTTAAAATATAAATAAATTTCTAGATTTAAAATAATGTCCATTTATAAAATAAATGAAATTTATTTATTTATTTTAAATGTAAATTATTTGTGATTAAATAGAACTGAAAAGAAAATTAGTTTATCCAATACATTTTATGTCAACATAAAATATATTTATTATTATTATATAATGAATTTTAATATTTATATAAATTATAAAATAAATGGAGTACATTTTTTATATTGAGTTTTCTTTTTTCAAATTGTGATATTTTGAATAAAACATTCTATTATTAAAACATAAATAAATTTCTAGATTTAAAATAATGATCATTAATAAAATAAGTAAAATTTATTTATTTGTTTACTTTTTAAAGTGTAAATTATTTCTGATTAAATAGAAGTTGAAACAAAATTAGTTTATCCAATACATTTTATTTCCACATAAAATATATTTAATGTTATTCTCTCGTTATATAAAACATATGTGGCAGTTTAAGTTATAAATATTTAATGGAAATAAATGAATTAGTCACTTTCAGTTGATATCCATCTAAACTTCTATCTAAAGTCTACATAATAATGCATAATTTATCATTTAATAAGTTATTTTGTTTGATTTATTATATTGCTTTTTTACAAAACATGTATTTCAAATATTAAGTGGTACTTTTAAGCAGATTATTTCTATCTTTTAATTAGTTAATTCTCTGAATTTTAATACATAATTAAATTATTTAAAATTAATTATTTCAGTTAATACATAACGGATTTTTTCTAATCACCCATTTACCAGAAAGCGAAATGAAATAAACAAAATAAGTGAAATATAACGATCAGAATTTAAAACCAAGACATAATAAATGGCGAGATGGAATCTAAAGTACTTTATAAAATATTAAATTGAAGTAAATCAAATATTTATGTGCTGCAAAGTCTTTAAACATTAAACTATAGCAATTTAAAGCAATTTAAAATATAAATAGTGAGATAATGTTTTACATTGAAGATTACTCGCTAAATATTTATTCAGAAAGCTTTTTATTTATTAAATGATTAAAGTAAGGTATGGCAAATACGATAAATTTCTTAATGAAATTTAAATAGCAACTTTTTTTCTTTTATTTTTTTTTATCTAGAAATGAAAAGAAATGTCGACTCAAGGCAAATACTACTGATACTACTGATAATACTTATGATTGTTTTCGGTAAGATGCCTATTTTCACAGTTAAAATATATCTCTGGTATTTAATTAAGATAGTTATAGTTTATTTATTTAGGGTATCTCATTTTTTCACGTATTTTAAATAAATCTTTACTGAAATAAAATATTTATAAGAGTTTTTGAATCGGTATGAATTAGAATTCACTTTCTTTTGTAGAAATATCAATTTCTTCATTAGAAATTGTATATTAATTAATAATTTCACATTTAAATAGAGCAGTCAAATCTTTTATATTCTATCCTTATATATTATGCTATTTAAAATTTAATCAATGTATATAAGCAGTCTTGCAAAATGAATGCCCTATCGTAATACAAACTCATTATTATGAATACATTTTAATTACCTATAATTTAATTAAGATATTTAATTCTATTAGTTTAAGTGCGATTAATTCTTAAGACACTTAATAGAAACTAATATTTTTCAATAAATTGATTGTTTGAAGTATTTAGTTTACTTTAATTCAGTTTAATAATGAGATACTTAAGTCCTACTTATTCTTTATCTATCACATTGAATTGTAATGCTTTGATAATTTTTAAAAAAATGGATGCAATTGAATATATATGGCCAGGATATTATGTTCAGTGTGATGGGTAGAGTAACTAGAGCTCGGTGTCACAGGTAATTGGGTTCGAGTCCAGGCGGTGACATGAATGTTTGTAGTAGTTCGGGATCCACTTTAAACCAAAGGATATTGGTTCAACCTATTAAATGACCACAATATTTTACAAATACTGCATTCAAATGGCCACTCTTTTAGTGAAGGATATTATATATCCCTTGAAGTGTCAAGTGCCTTTTTTTTTCGGCTCACACCATTTTGTTGAAATCTCTGAAAATCACTTAAATAGTGTCTCTTCAATAGTAATCGCTTAAATATTATCTAATCGCTCTGAAATCGCTTAAATAGTATAAAAAAATTAACAATTTAATATTGTAATTTACTGAAGTGTCTAAAAATTATATATATTATAAATAAAGTGAAAAAGATAAGAAATGAAAGTAGAAAAATTTATCAGCTTGGCAATTTTTTCTCTCAGCAGACCACCCAGATCACGTCGACACATTGATGGTAAGCAATTTTCGGTAAGCAAAGAAATCGAAAGAATTCACGCTGAGAAGCATTTGTTTTAGGTTCCACCTATGTATCTTTCAGGCCACTGAATGGTTTAAGTATGACAGTGAGTCTCAAAATTTTTACCTTCACACATCCTTAATAAAAGAAAATTCATAGCACATCTCATCGCCCAACTTTTATTTTCTTTAATCTGTGAACTAATTATTAATACAGCCTGAATATTAATTGTGCTTAGTTTATTTTTTATTAATTATATATTAATATTAATATTTAAATAAAAATCTCTAAAATTCAATTTCATTACACTCAGTAAATCAACTAAAAAAATATTGACGATACATCTTCTTTCAAAACCAAACATACATTTAATTACTACTAAAAGTTAATTACTAAAAAATTACTTTAATAGACAGCCCTGTTTTTAAGAAGAAAAAATTAACATGGCGCGATATATCTTAAGTTCGTTTTCCTAACTCACTTCACCTCTTTTAAATATATCTGAGCATAGAGTAGGGTTTCTTTGTACTTTTTTATTTAGATATCACATCGAGCACTACAATTTACTTACGATCAGTACGCAGAACAAGAGAAGAATTTTGAAAGATGCCGAATTTCACTGACCCTGTGGGGTTCCACTTCCTTTCCTTCCCAAATTCAACGTGCCACTGGGAAAAAAACGAAATTCGAAAGAAGAACATCATTTGTCAAGCGACATTTTTTTAACTGATTGAGAAGCTGTTTTGAATCAACTTTTATTCTGTCCTCTGTTTTCTGATAACGTCAAAATAAAAATAAAGGAAGAAAAACTCTTGAGACGTCGAAATCCCGTAGTAAATGATGTGTGAATGATAAATGAGTTTCGATTATAGGCACTCGTGTATTTGAAAAGAAAACTTACACATCGGAAAAACAGACCATTCACAGCAAAGTGGGAAAAGAATCCACCTACACCATTGCATCTCTTTGTATAGATTGAAGCAGCGGTTAAAAGGTGCAGGCGAGACTTGGGGAAGGAAAAATTACATTGTGGTTAGTTTGCCTTTGTATGTATCTCATATTCTTTACCTTTGTTAGCCACATAAAATAAACAATCTGTAACTATTTCTTTTCTTTTCGTTCTTAATTTCTTTTTTTTTTCTCGTTATATTTATTCTTTTTTTTTTTATTACTAATTAAATTATAAATACTTATTTTCTAATAAACCCTCATAAACTTACTTTAATATATTACGCTAGTATATATTTATTATTACATGAATTGTTTTACTTCCTTATACGTGTTAAGGGACGTAAAGTAATTCATATATATTTATAATAAATTTATAATTTTTTTTCCTGAAACATATTAAATTTCCATTTTGTGATATATTCCATTCAACATTTGACATTTAGATATAAAAAAAAATTACTTTTACAATTGGACGTAAAACTTCCAATCATACCATGTGAATGTCAACAGCATTTGAATAATCTTTATTCATTATTTTCTTTGAAACATTCTTCTCAAATCCAAAGATACCGCCTTTTCCAAAAGTAGTTCTTTCATGATTATTTTCTAAAAATCCAATTATTCATTCTTAATTTACATTCAATCAATTCTTAATTTACTATATAACATTATTATGTTTATATATTACACATACATTCACACTAAAAAGTATTGGGAACACAAAACAAGTTCACAAGATTTTATCATAATATATAACTTAAATAAACAAATGAAATGAAAGAAGGGAAGTACGTCGCATTTTGTTAAATTCATATTATAGTAATTCAAACGAAATTCACATATTAATGTAAGTACGATTACAATTTAAAATATAAGAAATCGAGCCAGAAAATCTGTATTGGGACACTGTCCAATAAATTTAAAAAAATGTGAACTTGATATTTAATATCTTGTTGACCTTTGAACTTTATGACCTCTCCTCGTGGATTTGGCATGGGGCTGATCAGTTTTGCGCAAAATGATCCTTTTATTTTGGCCCGCTCTTCGATCATATGTTTTCTTAACTCCTGCTTGTTAGAAATATCGTGTCTGTTGGGTTTTTTTTTCTGCCGCAAATAATCACACACATGTTGAATAGGATTAAGGTCTGGACTTTGGACAGGGATCTTAATGACATCAGGGTTGGCACAGGAACCATAACTTGAAAATATCAACAGCATGTTATGGGTCGTTATCATGGTAAACCTACTGGTATCCTGGTCCGTTTAAAATGTCTTGAGATTCCCTAGTTGCTCACGCTTTGCTTTAACTTTAGCTTGAGAATATCAAAGTAGGCATATTTATTCATTGTACCATCTATAAAGATTGTTGCAACCTCCATCTTTTAGAGTACTACGCAAAATTTGCAACGACTAAAGCGCGTGTCCAGGAGGTCGGAGTGGTTATGGCGCCAACTTGAATGCGGCCGTACCATGCTGAATATACCGGTTCTCGTTAGATCACCGAAGTTAAGCATCATTGGGCGCGGTCAGTACTTGGGTGGGTGACCACCTAGGAACACTGCGTGCCGTTGGCAAATTTGGGACCTGAATGGCCGAGTGTCTGGCGCTCGGTGCCACAGGTTTCGGGTTCGAATCTCGGCGGTGCCATGGATGTTTGTAGTGGTTCGGAATCCACTTTAAGCCGTAGGTCCCGGTCTTCTATGACTGTAAGAGCGTCACGGAGCGAAAGTCAGGCTTCTACCTACGGGTGCTGCATCATAACAGAAGCTGCTTCCTTCCCCTTCAATCATGAGTCCATATGGGCTCGTGGGCTTGGCCAGCCAAGTGGGATAAGAAACAACAACAACAACACTTGAATGCCCTACATGTACCTGATACCCGTTAAATGTTGATGTATCTTTAAACTATGGACTATGTGTGCGATTATGAATGTCATTAAAAGGTAAAGCTCTAAAAAATATTAAATACGATAACTAGATCGTCGACCTAGTTCGGTCGAACTTTGGTCAGAAATCCAATTACACTTTGGTACCAAGTTAAACTGAATATAATTCCTTCAGCGCTGTTTTACACATAGTTTGTTATAATTAACGATTTATTTATCGGTTGTTCCATGAAAGGTAGAATTAAATGTAGTGACCTGATTCTCGGTGTGAGAAGGACGTAGGTTTGAATCCTGCTACTGGAAATCTAATTTTTTTTATCTGGACCAGTAATAAAAAAGAATATAAATAACCCAGAAAACATCCCAACCTCCATAACAACCCAGAAAATTGTTTACTAATATTTAAATATGTGAGAAAAGTAAGTTTCTGGCACATAAAGATCTACTGGTATCATTATAAATATTTTTTTTGTAGAATAATTTAAGAATTAGAGCAGTAAAGGTTTCTTCAAAACAAACATTTAAATGACATTTCAATTTCTCGGGAATGTTGTTTATTTTCTGTCTAAAGTTGAAAATAGAAAATGTAAATTGGTGAACAATTGTACTGAAAATTTTATGTGATCAGGATGGCCAAATGGCTATGAATTGAGGTTCCGATTGTTAATATGTATTTAAGCAATCTCATCGAAAAATAAATTATAATTGGAGAAGTGTACATATTAATCAAATTAGGTGATCAGAATTGTTTACAAAAAAATTTGTTTTGCAAAGTAAATCCAGACGCTACTAGGAACTTTAGCATTCTTCTGAGTTGATTAACAAGATCGTTAATTGAAGTTGACGATGAAGAATTAAATTAATATTCGTGTACAATCGATTTGTGAGTTTCCTACCTACCTTCCAGAGTGAGATATCACTTCTTCAAGTCCTATTTTTTTACGTAGCTGGGAAACGATCTAAAATAAGATTTTATTCAATGATAGTTCTTAAAATAAATTTAAAAAATTAAAACTTTATATTGAAAAGTTTATACTTTATATACCATCCAATGAGTGATTTCTTTGATTTTGATTTTGCTACATTTTATAGAATTTCAATTTATCCTCATTTTTTGTTACTTTTTCAAGTATTTTGATTATTAATTATCTACTGCTACCCTTAAAACGTAATAAATAAATTAAAGTTATTGTAAAATAATTTCCAAAGATAAAACAATTAAGATATCATTTATAAATAGTAAAAAAATAAATTTCCATTAAAAATTTGCAAATTTATAATTTTAAAAATTCATAATTCATTAGAAATCACAAAAAAATCAAAGCACAAATTACTGGACAAGAACACTAATTTCGTCTTCCTAATTAAATAAGAAAAGATGCTATGATTTGAATTTTGCCGTTCATGAAAGTTAAATATATTTTAAAACCATTATAAAACTATGTTTTAATGAATAATCCTATGTTTTAATGAAGCATTTTGTTTTTCTCATTCTAAATTTATACTTTGTCCCTTATAAATGTATTGAAATGGGAAAACTTTTAGGAAAAGTGAGTGTGTATGAAGAAACGGAAAGCGATTTTCTGCCTTATTAATAATGTCGTAACTGTCGTATACGAAAATACCAAATCTATCAACAGCTTGATTATTGATCACGATGTTGGAATATATTGCCACAATTGCCTTCGAGTGTCTTTGCTTCCAATATCAGTGATTTTAAGATATGATGCCATCGCATTCGAAACTGAAGCCCTCCGTTAGCTATTCAGACTCGAGTCAGGCACATTTGATAAGTTTGGATCAGAAAGGTATAGAAACAAAATCCAAAGAGAGCAAATGATACAAAGAAATGTAACCATTACATAAAAACATGCATTACATAGCATTTCTTGTTTAAAGCAATCTGTACGTATTCCGACAGTGAATAAGATTTTTAAAATTGAAAATTTTATATGAGTCTAAGCACCAGTTTACCTTTATATAAACAAAAATAAAATGCAGTCCTGGAACAGGATTCGAACCTGCGGTCACTTTGAGAAGTGGATCAGATAACCATGCCATGCGATTCCCATCTCTTTTCGGGACACTTTTAAACACTTAACAAAATAATCATTCACATTACTTAAGTATCTGTGTTGCACTATGTTCAGGTTGCTCGATATTACCGAGAATAAACGGAACAACAGTTGCTGATTTAAATTTTGTTTCGTTAGTTGAATGCGTTATAATGTCATATAGTCTCGACATGTGCAGAACAGAAGGCATACGAACTGCATTAAAAAAACCACAGCCACTTGACCATCATGGATAAACGACGTTCTAAATTGCTTTTGTTTGGGAGGGACACTTTAATTACTTGTTTTTGAATACGTTATTTCACAAAAATGAAAGCTTTTAATATATTTGATTTCGAGAATTTGAATTGCTGCAGAATGGAACACATTGAACAGCATTGAAGCATATAGCGCAATTTATCATAAAGAATTTAACACACAAATATTAAACAAGGATACGTATTTCATCTTTCTAATTGAAAACAAATTATAATTTCAGGTTTGCCTTTTTCTTTGGGAGGGACGCATTCAGACGATTCTGTACATTTTAATAAAACGTATTTATTTTCCTTATTCTAAATATAGACTATGTCTTCGTAAATTTATTGAAATGTGATAAGAACTTTTAGAGAAACTGTATTAATAAAACAGGAAATAATTTTCCTGCCTTGTTAATATTATCTGCTGTTAACTCCTACATGCCGTGTCCACCAACGGCTTGATTGTTGATGCAAGATGTTTGCGAAAACTGTCACAACTGTCTTTGAGTTATTTTGCTTTCAAATTCGAAACTTAAGCCATCTATAGGTCACAAAAACTCGATTCAGGTACATATGGCAAGTTAGGGCGGGATAGGCACAAGAAAAAACAAAAGAGATCAAGTCACTACAAAGGCTTTTAAGATTTGCATAAAAACAGGACGTAATAGAATTACGTCTTTAAAGTACTCTATAGATAATTGTTCAGAGGCTAAAATTTTTCCAAAATTTGAAATGAGTCTAAATATCATTTATCCTTTTTCATAAACGTTATTAAACGACATTCCTGGAGCAGGATTCGAACCTACGCTCACTTCAAGCAGTGAATCAGATACCCACGTTACGTAACTCCCATCAATTTTTAGGAAACCTTTAAAAGCATAATGAACTTATCCATCACATTTAGCAAGTATCCTTATTTATCAGTAGTGTTCAGTTGGTAGAATATTACCGAGAATATACGGATTTAACAGTTACCAGCTTTTCATTGGATTCTTCAATTATACTTAAATGCCTTTTGTTTTGTTTTGTTTTTTATTGTTGTTATTTGTTTTGTTGTTATAATTTTGCATATTAGAACCATAATATGGCGTAAAGACTGAACAACGACTTGACAGGAGCCACATTAAGGGGATTGAAGTCTGATGCCATAACCACTCGGCCATCCAGGACAAAGCCCTTGTTCTAAATAGCATTTCTATTTTGATTTTATTTTATATTTTCTTTACATTATAAAGAAATGAGAAAATTTAGAAAATTATTACAGAAAATTTAAATGGCTTTTAAAAATGTTTGATTTAAGAAAAATTTTAATGCTCCAATTTTGAAGGAATTCTACTATCAGCTGCAAATTACTTCCAGACATTATATTTAGGCATATTAATTTTTCTGATTAAAATTTTACTTTACTTCTGCTTTAAACATTTTCGAGTTTCATGAGAAAGTCTAATTTTTTTGCTGGAGTTTCTATAAAGGTAAACTACAAAATAATCTAATATTCTTCTATTTCAAACCTTTGTTAAATTCGTTTTTATTACGACGTATTTAAAACTGGGAGTAGGTAAGGTGTTTCGGTCAAAGTTGATAATCATGTAGTAAAATGTCCAGGACAAATATTAGAAAATGATGCCTAACTAATCATCCATAATGAAAAATCTGTTTGCTGCTCAGAACATTATCTCGGAATTTGAGTTCTGAGAATATTGTCGTATCATATAAGAAAAGACCAAAAAACCTACTACAAGCAGTTTAATTATTGATAAGACTTTCAAAACTTTTCTTTCTAGCTTTTCAGATTCATCGTATTCTAAAAAACTGATTTCTAGGCGGGCCACCATATTTTTTTTTAAATTTTTACACTTGAATAATTTCACAATAATGTAATAAAATTGACAGAAAATGAAAATAAATAATTTACATGTCTTCCATGACTTGAGCTGAAGATCAAAGAAATTGTAAAACTTAAAAAAAAAAAAAAATGACAATGAAATATTGAAATTATTCTCTTGTGTTGGTAAAATTGTAAATCAATTGACGATATTGAATTTTTCTGACCCTAACAAAAAGTTTGTTTTCTATAATACTAACATTATTACACGATTTGATTTTAACAGATTTTTGTACTATTAGATTAAAATTAAATATATTATTTTATGAGGGAAATTGAGTGAATAGTAAGTGAAATTGTCTTTCCTCTTAACATGTTCTTTGTTGTAAAAACTGTATTAATTTTTTTTTTATGAAACAAGAAAATTTTTATGCGTGTGTGCGTTTGCATTTCTTGGAATTATAAACTCTCTTAATTTATTTAACTTTTTAAAATATAGAGACCTCCAATTTTTATCTTTCTGAATCTATTATTTACCATATGCTT